TGATGATGATGACATCCATTTTTATTGTGGTGAAAATATTCACACCCAAACATCTACCAATGCAACACATTTCCACATTTATTATCCCCTGACATTCATTACACTTTTCATAGCGTGTCACCAAAGCTGTCGTTTCCCAATGTATTCAATAATGAATATAAACTCCACGCCAGCAAAACAAACAACAAACGAACAGACTCACCTTTTCCCTGCCTTCCACGAATAATTTCTGGTTTCTGTATATTTGCTGATTTCATTGAAGTGGGACCATGCCGTCTTTGTCCTGTGAGTGGATTAGTCTGGTCCCCATGTTTTCAAGGCTCCTTTCTGCTATAGTAGCCTTTAGAACTTCATTTCCCTTTACGTCTATGTTCTATCTCACAATGTTCATGTTTTTACAAACGCTAAAGTTTCAAATTAAATATTTTGTTCCATCCCAGTCTCATACACAGCTTTGGTTTGACTTAATGAACTACTCGATAGTCTCTAATTACATTTTTCTTTGCTTCTGTTAACCAGTTGTTCTCCGAGTAGAAAAGCACTGAGCTGAGCTAACCTATCTGCTGATGACCTAACCCTGCAGGTAGGGGGACCTCAGGCTGGAAGGTGTCAAGGTGGGCAGGGAGCTGAGGTTAGAGGCAGAGTAGACTTTTTCAAAACCAGTGTTGCTCACCTCTCCCCTGCTACCTAGCCTCTCTCCATTTCTGTATTGATCCTCACTGCCCCAAGAGAGAGCTCACAAAATTTCATCCTGCTGATGTTCAAAGATTTCTTTTCAGCCTAAGACTCTGATTTTAGCTTTGTTTTCCACAATGAATATTCAGATGATCGTTTATGTGGGTGAATAGTTTTGTACTACTTTGGTGATTTAAAGTGGAGATGGAAGATCAATAAACAGAAAAACAAACCAACAAAAAAGCACATGCAGGATTGGTCACTTCGCTGGGTGTTGAGGGTCACAGCCCAGCATGCACAGCGATGGCACCAGGTCTGCAGGCTGGTTGGCCGCTGATGGGGGATCTCTGGGGGAGGGAAGGGGTTGCTGCAAAGGGGCTTCTG